CTCTGCAAGAGCAGCCAATTCTCTTAACCACTGAGCCATCTCTCCAGCCCCCTCCCCTTTCCGACCGGCTCCATCTCTGTGGTCGTGGCTGCTCACTGCAGTCCATCATTGGCCCTACTGCTCACCTGTATAGCCTCCTCGTTCAGAGGACTCCTCTGGCTCTCGGAAAGAGCCACGGGTATCCCGGGACCGATAAGACCAGCCAGTACCTCGGCCAGGTGGGGCAGGAACCTCAGACTCATCATAAGGGCCTCCGTCATCCTCAAAGTCAGGCATATCGAAGGGTGGTGCCCCATAAGGGGCCTCTCGGCGGGCGAAGGGCCCAGGTGGGGGTGGATAAGGATCATAGGGCAGCACAGGTGGTGGGTACAGCTCTGGCCCATAGGGGAGACCCTGGTAAGGAGGGCCTATGTCTGGACCATATTCATAGGGGAGTCCAAAGCCACCTGGACGTGGGGGGCCATATGCAGGGGGGCGCAGCACATTGCACAGAGCCTCAAAGTCATCTGTGAACAGGAATCAAGTCATACCACCATCAGCACCCACCAATCACATCCCCCCTCCCCCAGAGAAGAGAAAGTCTGAGAGGATGGGGAGAGAGGGCCGAGCTGGTAAGGCAGGATCAGGAATTTCAAAAGCCACAACTGAGGGTCCAGGGCTGATACTGGGATTCTGAGGTATGGGGATCCAGAGTCCTAAGGATCACAGTTCAAGATACTGGAATTTGACCCATAGGATCTAGAGCTCAGGACCTGAAGAAATTGGATGAAGGTATTTTGTGGATGGGGAATCCCAGGTCTGGCTGGGGTCTCGATGGGGCAGGGGGCATAGAGGGACCCTGAGCAACTGGAATCTGGACATCTGAGGACCCAGGACTATGGGTTTTGTTCATGTTCCTAAGGAGTGTGAGTGAGAGCACTCAGAGATCTCTGTGTGTATTGAGTCCTGGGCACCTGAGGCAGGGGGCCCATGGCAGTGGGTCTTAGCAGCTCCTGGGGCTGTGACCAGAGAATCTGGGCCAGAATAGTGCACATGGGCAACTGCTATTTGAGATGGAATGGCCCAGGATTTTGGAGAGGGGCATCTCAAAGATTGTGTCTAGAGCTAGGTTCTAGAGCCAGGAATTAAGGATATGAGAGACCTCGGGAGCCAAGGGGACTCGATCTATGGGATCTGCTGAGTCAGGCCTTGGGATTTTCCTTTGCTGACACTTGCAAGTCGGTGACAAAGGTTTTGAGCTAGGTTAAGATGCCAAGTCTGGTGGGATCTGGGATTCTAATACTGCACAGATGTAAGGCTTAGGTTTGAGGCCTATATGACAGGGTCTCTAGAAGTAGTAGAGGTGTGCAGTACCTGAGTCCTGGGCAGGGCAGAGGGCACAGTCCATGCCCCAGGCTTCTCCATAGAGGCAGCAGCACTCTGTGTAGGTGGCCTGCCGGTCCAGCCGAGGGCGACTGCAAACGAGGTCAGGCCCCACTTCCTGCCAGCACACTCCCAGATTGTCATCTGCGGGTGGTGACCTATGCATGAGGACCCAGCACTTGGGCGGTCCCACATGGATCCAAGTCAGACCTCCAGAGGGCTCCGAAACATAGGGGCAGCTGTAATCCTTTAGTTTCTGTTCTGTTTTTGAGATAGTCTCTTTATGTAGCTCTGGCTGGCCCAGAACTTGTCCCCTTGCCTCAGATTGTTGAGTATGGAGGATTACAGGTGTGCAATATCACGCCTGTACTGTCTGGATGTTGTTTAAATAAAGGATATTGTAGGAACAGGAAATGAAAGAGGAGAATTTGGGGCAGAGAGTCAAGGCTCGGATGGGGAGACAGAGAATGAGACTTAAGATGGCCTAGAGAGACGGGGAGAGAGACAAGGAGAAGAATCCCAGCACTGGGGAGGCAGAGGCAGGCAGATCTCTGTGAGTTTGAAGC